TCCGACAGAAGAGAGATCCATGATCATATTGTCAATGAGGGTAGTAGCACAAGGAAGTTTTTAGTCTTGCCCTCCTAAAAAGATAATTCAGATTGTTTTTAGGGAATTTCCATTTTCATACTTAACTAGCTCTATTTCTAACTTTTCATTTGCATAGAAAGTTATATGATTCACAGGGCTAAAGATTTCATTTTGGCTTGTTTTTGATGTGGCACAGAATTTATTGAAAAAAAAAGGCAATTGGTAATATTGCTATAAATTAAATTGGTCAAAACTTTTAAATTAGAAAACAAATACTTTTTAAAGCAGTAATTACAGTGGTTTTCCAATGAGGTATACTAGATGAGATTTATAAATTGCCACTGGAAATAAATATCATTACAATGAAGCATACATACTTTTTTTTCTGGTACTGGGGATTGAACACAGGAGCACTTGACCACTGAACCACATCCCCAGCCCTATTTTGGATTCCATTCAGAGGCAGGGTCTCACTGAGTTGCTTTGCTTAGTGTCTCACTTTTGCTGAAGCTGGCTTTGAACTCACAATTCTCCTGCTTCAGCTATCCCGAGCTGCTGGGATTACAGGCGTGTGCCACCACACCTGGCTAAGCATACATACTTTTAAAAATCAATTTATCATCATGTTTGAATACATAGCCCAACACTCTCACGATGCTCTAAATTTGTTATTGGGATATACAGTGATTCTATGATCATGATTTTAAGTTCATAATTAAATAGCTCACAATTTAATTTCAACCCCTGAGAGCAGGTGAAAAGGAAAGTAGTAAGGAGAAAAAAAAGAAAAAGAGTAAGTAGTTTTAGGAAATCATTGGAGGAAAAAAAAAACTTGGGAGATGGAAAAGAGACAAGATTTATTATTTATAAATACAATGTTTTCCACTTACTTTTCACCCCCCTTTTCCCCTTTCTCTCCTTTTTGTATTGCTCCTTGAGTTTGGTAATTACTCCCTGGTCGACATTCCAGGCTTTGGGCATGAGACATTGGTCCTCCTTTTCTGAACAGAGTAAAACAAATGAAACAGCCTTTTTCAATAAAATATTGAACACTGTAAGTCAATATGTCTGAAAGACACAACAATTTTCTTCATAGCATCACTAGCTAAAATAAAGTCATTATTTATTCATCAGATATTTAAGTTGCAAGAAATACAGTAGCTAAAAAATAACAATCAAATTGATTTTCTAATTAACAGACTTTCCTTGAAAAAGACATCAAGAACCTCTCATTTTTCATTCCGTTTTCTAAATGCCATTAGGAATGACTGGAAAAAAACACTTAATATTGACTTATATGATGAGAGACAGTTACTGATATTGTACAAAATAGTATCCAATGATCTTTTCCCTTTAAGAGTTTTATACTTTTGGCATGTGTTCATCAACAAATGATGATTTTTATTTTATTGGCCTTATAAGTAGATTTTTTTAAAACTTATTAAGTAGCCTTCGTTCAAAATGCAAAATAATTTAAATAACATGATTATTTATAAGTTCCCAAAAGAGGAAACTCAGAACTTCTGGTAAATAAAGAAATTAATCAATATTTCAGGAGAAGACTATTTAAAGAGTAAATATGTTGCTGGTCATGGTGGTGCACGCCTGTAACCCTAGCAGCTGAGAAGGCTGAGGCAGGAGGATTGCAATTTAAAAGCCAGCCTTAGAAAAAGCGAGGCACTTAGCAACTCAGTGAGACCTTGTTTCTAAATAAAATACAAAATATGGTTGGGAATGTGGCTCAGTGGTCAAGTGCCCCTGTCTTCAATCTCTGGTACCAAAAAAAAAGAGTAAATATGTTATATACTTATACTTACCATATAAAGCAATTTGTGTGCTATTCAATACTATTGAAAGTGTTAGCATAGAACTCTAGTTTGAATCCATGACACATATAACCAACTGTTCACTCTACTTGTCCACTGGGAAAACAAATAGACATCTCAAACTAAATGGGCAAAACCAAATTCCCAATCTCCTCCACTCAACCAATCTGTTCTATCCACAGGCTCTCAATTTCATCTGATAGCAATTTTATACTTGTATTTGTTCAGATCAAAACCCTTTCCTCCCTCTTCACATCAAATATTTCACTTTCTCTACATTAAAAACATAATCAGAATCTGATTTCTCAGCACATCTACAACTTCTCTGGCCACTCTGATCTCTTGCTAGAATTACTGCAAAAATTATTACCCTTCACCACATAAGACAATTATCAACAGTTCTCTGGGTAGTCTATCTGAAGCATAATAAAGCTTTAAAAGTCAGATTATGTCACCCTTCTACACATATCCTTCCCATAGCAGCATTTGACATAATCCTATATAAATGGTCATTTATTACTACAATCCCTGTGCTTCAGACACTCTGGCTCCCTTGAATTCCTTAAGCATGACAGGTATGTTGCTATCTTATGGCACTTACTCTCACTTTCTTCTTCCTCAGATGCCACACGGCCAAATCCCTCATCAAAATTTTAAGTCTCTTGTTCAAAAGGCTTGCCATAGCTACCCTATTTTAAACTGTAAGTTGCTCTCACCACCCCATCCAATCCCAATTCTTCCTATATACCTGACATTGTTCTACTTTTTCTATTTTCCATAGCATTTATCACCCTCTGACATTCAATATCATTTATTATGTTTATTGCTTACTGCCTAGATCCTTTTACTAAGTTGTGAGCACCATGGGGGTTAAGAATCTTCTAGAAAACCTGGTACATAGACAACACTTGTTCAATATTTGCTGAATGAATTTTGAAATTATTTGAAATGAACCAGAATAAATAAAAATCTATTTTTAACAACTTAACTTTCAATCTAGTTCAGAAAACTGGGTTTTTTGGGGGGGACCTTTGAATATAACAGTATTAAAAACAATTTTACATCAACATTTCTAAATACGTAACTATAATCTAAAAGCAGAAGGAATAAACTTTATTTTTCAAGAAAACCCTAACAATTAAAATTTTTACTTTCTCTAATCTGGCCGTAATAATAAATTTAACTGTATGGGTTTTGAATTCTGGAAGGTCCTTAGTCTATTTAAGCAAAAATTTAGCACTATCATAACCTTCACAGACTCATTACAACAGCACTAGAAGATCATGGAAGATGTTAGTATAATTTATCTATTTACTTGCCAGAAACTAATCAGATTCTTAACCTAAGTACAACTCTTTTTAAGGGGGTGGAGTAGAAGAGAGGATGGCGTGAGCACTTAACTAGACAAGATTTACAGTACAGTTCTGTTAGTTTGTTCAAAGTTCAATACTTTGAATTAAATTATAAAATTATTTTTTAGTGTGTGTGTGTTGGGGGGTATTTACTGGGGATTGAACCCAGCAGTGCTTTATCACTGAGCCACATCCCCAGCCCTTTTTATTTTTTATTTGGAGACAAAGTCTTGCTAA